CTGTAGTAAACCCGCATCAATACGATCAACGATGGCAAAATATCGCTCTGCCAATCTCTCTCTCTCACTCTCTTTCTCTCTCTCGCTGCTCTCGCACTCTCTCATTAACTCAATCTCTTCAGGTGTTTTCCAGCTGTTGATTAACTCAGCTAATGAGTCTGATTAAAGGTCACTTCGCGCTCTTTGCTCACATTTCCGCAGAATTTAATGTGAGCGAACAAACAAATTTTGTTTTAGTTTTCGTTTTGCTGGCGAGCTGTTCGCGTTCATTGCTCTGCGCCGCACTCACAATAAAAAAGAAACACTTTTGCGGAAAACTAAATAACATTCGGCTATATTAAAACATATATGTAAAGCGAATAGAAAACATTTAGTATATGCTCTAGCGTATGCCCAGATTATATCACATTCAACGACGCGTGTGGGCACCAATATGACAGCTGTTCCAGCGGACGCCAAGCTAATTGGACACAATGAACAACMGCAACAGCAACAACAACAACTCGAGCAGGTAATTAATTAAGCAACAACTGATTGACTGGGGATCATAAACGGAATTGCAGTGAGGCCTATCTCAGCCAGATACAAATCCATATGGTCGAGAGAGAGAGTGGAGAGTACCTTTGAACCGGCTCGATTGCAATTTGAACCCTCTCAGCTTATCGCCGGCGGCCAATATGTAATGTCTGCCTGATAAGATTTTTAAGCCGCACGAATCAGAAATCAATAGGAAATTAGACAGTTGCGGTAGCTGAGCAAAAGTCTCAAGTTGGAATTCCGATTCCTATTCCGATTGCAAGAGATAAGTGGAGTTGAAAGTTGCTCGGTTGCCCTTCGCTGTTATTAAGCTCATTAGAAGTTCATCAAAATGTTGTCAGGAGGCGGCGGCGGGTCGAAGGGGGCGGCAGTTTTTGGTATAAAAACTTTTGCAGACGCTGTGTCACACTTGAAAGCATTTTGCGCTAATTTTCAAGTTGAACGAGCCAAACTCTTCGGCAAAAGCAAAAGCAACAACAGCAACAAAAGTAACAATAACAACAATAACAAAGACAATTGAAAAGTGTCGTGAAAAGTTTTTCCTGTGGCGCAAAACTACGAAAATCCATTTGTCGGCATTTAAAGTTTGCATGCGCTACAAGTCAATTGCAGACGGGACAGACAGGCATGCCTAGCTCAGTCTCCCACCTCTACTTCTCCTCCTCTCCCTCACTCCAACCCTGGCCATCAGCAAAAAAAGCTAGATGATAAATTGTCGGCTTGCTGCGCACTGACTGTTGGCCATCAATCTGCAGCGGTGCGCGGCTCAGTTGTCAATCGTGTAACCCGAACGATTGATCAAACCAATATGAGCTCAATGCGCTTGAAGCCGAACAGCGAATGCCCTTACACATTGTTATCATAATGATAATGTCAACATACATGTATTTGTCTTGAGTGATTTGTGAGTTTTACACTCTGATTAGATTAGGTCAAGATTAAAGTCGAACAATCGTTTAGTTAGAGAGTAACCGTTATCAATTTCTGTTTAGTTTTTCCCACAACATTTGGTATTCCTACCCAACCAGGCATATTTGCGAGATGAGCTGACAAACTGCCATCCTTTTGTCTTGTTGCCGCATCGAACCCTTTTCGATTGTTTGAACACCCTCGGGTTATTCCGTACACTATCAAGTTTTGGCATGTCAATTAGCGGTGTCTGTGTGTGTCTGCGTGTGTGTGTCTCACCCACCTTTGCTACCTTTGCAGCCGATGGACGTGCGCATCAATATGCCCTGGGGCTATGTGGTAGGCCGCTGGTATGGCAATCGACAGGTACGCCCGATACTCGCCCTGCACGGCTGGCTGGACAATTTGGGCACTTGGAATACGCTGCTGCCGCTGCTGCCCAAACACCTGGGCGTCCTCTGCATTGATCTGCCTGGGCATGGGTATTCGTCGAAGCTGCCGGAGGGGATTGCCTATCATTTTGTGGACTACCTGTGCGTGATACTGCGCATCATGGAGGAATATGGCTGGCAGAAGGTCTCGCTGATGGCCCACTCCATGAGCGCCATGCTGTGCTTCATCTTCGCCTCGCTCTACCCGCACCGCCTGGACATGCTGATCAGCATTGACATTGTAAAGACGCGCTACCGCAAGCCACCCTCGCAAATCGATTACCTGCGCACCAACATCGAGCGCTACATGATCGAGGACGAGCGGTTCGCCAATGCCAAGCGCGAGGAGCCGCCCGCGTACACCTGGCAGGAGCTGGAGCATGTCCTACACAAGGGCTCAGCGGGCTCGGTGCCCCTGGAGAACTGCCATCACATCCTCGACCGCAATGTGGCCAAGTCGACCAAGTATCCGGACAAATACTTCTTCTCCCGCGACGGCCGCTGCAAGTACTACTTCGAGTTCCACACGAGCCCCCCCTTCGCCGCGGAGCTGGCGCGCACCATACGCAACGTGCCCTATTGTGTGATCAAGGGCTCCGAGTCGAACTTCATTGACGACGAGAGCCAGGAGGTTATTGACATACTGCGCTCCAATAATCCGCACTTCGAGCTGCACGAGGTGCAGGGCACTCACCACGTGCACTTGAACAATGCGCAGGGCGTGGCCGAGGTCATCAATCCGTTTATAATGCACCACAGACCGCCCCACCTGGAGACCTGGACGATGGATGAGCAGCAGGAGCTGCCCGAGGTGGTGCAGCAGTTCGCCCTCGCCGTCGACGAGGCGGAGACCGTGAAGCGTCGCAAGAGAAAAAGCAACCTCTAGCTGTTGCACCCACCTCTGAGGCGTGCCGACAGCGCGAGCCGGAATTTAGCTAGAAATTTAAATCAATGAAAGTGTAGTTAAGCCCAAACAAAAACTGAAAACAGAAAATGATAATTTAAGCGTCAACAAATAAATGTGAATTCATAGATATTGATTACCGCAATAAATAATAATAAATATTTGTCTTGCCCTCCGTTGCAGTTGGCCAAATCCAGACACAATTTTATCTTAATTACTTTCGCGGAACCTGAACTTTTTAAAGCTTATCTAACGTCTGCTTTCGCTTGGGATTTCCACAGAAATTTATATATACAAATACAGCTACATATGTATATGTATATACGGTATAGTATATTACACCACATGCACCTTTTTTCTGCTTCGCCCCCATTCGATCAATCAAGCTGGGGCTGGCATTTAATTTCGCTTTAATCTTTGGGTCGCAGTTCATTGGCCACTTCATTAGTGATAAGGGAGCAAAGGATGTGCGGCATCCACTTAAAAACAATGGCGTTGCAGAAAAACAAAAGGGGCCACCAGAGAGAGAGAGTGTGTGTGAATGTGGGTGTCCCTCTCCATCTCTCCCTCTCCCTTTCTCTCTGTCCCTGTGAACATTTTGAATGTGTGCCTCGAGCCACACTAAATAGCAAAGGCAGTCAGAGCGTATCGATATTGAGAGCGAACCACAGTCACTCGCGTAGGTCGGCGAGGCTCGGCTTCAGGCTGGAAAAAATAAACAAATTTAACGTTTTTATTGCCATAGCACGTTGCGGCTGGGTTTTCTACGTAAATTAAATTAGGTAGGAGCCGGAAAAATTGCGGCAACAACTCTCGCATTGGCTGTAGATAGACAACGTTGTCCCGACTGCTCCCGCTGCCAGCGGCTGCAATGCGATTACGTTTTTCCGACGTAACGAAATTGATAGCGGATATAAATGTTTAATGTTTCGGCAATAAAATTGCGGCAAAAGGCTGGCGAATCACTGCGAAGTGAGCGGGGGGAGGTGCCGGGCTACTCAGTTTTGTGGGCAGCAGCACAAGTTCTGGCCGCCGGCCTGATAAAACATCTTTATGATAAATTCGGTTGTGGTTAACGCGCAATTTAATTTGTTAAAAATCAATAAAAAGGAAAATCATTTAAGCGAGCAGCGCCCATTGGCCGTGCTCAACTACTAGTGGGGCGCAGCTAACCTGCACTTAAACTCTTATCATAATATTTACATTAAAATTCAGCGGGCACTTTTAGTAAATTGCATTGCATGAATTAGTCCATTGAGCGAGGTCAAACGATGCTTGAGAAATTGAAAGCTTGAAGTGCCTCAGCTTCATTGCATACATTGAAGATGATGGCTAATATTTATGGAATAGCTAGTTTGTAGAATATACATATATAAGGAATATATAGTGCGGAGATACATTTAAATATATTTTATATTTTTATGGTATATATAAATATGTAGTTTTGTAGATATACACTCATGATGAAAATAATAGGTACTTGAAAATAATTTTAGAGATTTTGTCATAACGAATTAAT